CGTCAGATGGGATTCCAAGGAAATAAGTAGTATACAGAAATTGCAGGATATTCAGGCTGGATATATGTAATTAGTGGCTGAAAATCATTCCTCTCAAGTCTCAAATATGAAAAACAAATGAACTTGAGAGTAAAAAGAAGAGATTTTTGGAAAATACTGTGGGTGAGAACCAGCAGAATAAGTAAATAACCTCCAGAATTGTGTGATGAGTACCATACTGCAGCTACTTTGGATGTGAATCTTCTACACATACTTCCCATTTTCAGTCAATAAAACAAGATAGACAAAACAACAATATCTCGAATAACAAAAACGTGCTACGATAAATCCTTTTAACTTTGGAAGCACTATTACTCAGAACTTCAGGCTGTCAGTGTTTATTGACTCTTATTGTCACTACAATAAAGACCTTCAGAGTTTAAAGAACAGTTTATTCACATACTTAGTACTTAGATCATCACATATGCAAGTTCACTTTTCGAAAAAAGGGAATGAGAAGTTCACCAACCACTTCAATGAGATTAGAACAACAACCTAACTTCAAAGTCACAATAAATGTGATATGAGGGCAAGTTCCACTGCCAATAACAGAATGATGCTATTTTGATCAAGAAGTTTGTTGTATAAAAAATATGTACTTCCTTCATATCAACAATCTTATAGACCATGACATTTTGTTCTAACTGAAAATAAATTCTTCATAATTGCACGCCATTAAAATCTTCCTCTCTTTGGTACAACTGTACATACTGTAGAACATAACAATCATTTTCGGCAATAACTATGCTTCATTAGAAAATCCACAAGCAAACATTACATCCATCCTCTTTTCTCAATATTGATAACTATTATGATGAAGCAACAGCAAAATGAACCACCCTCTGAATCCTTTATCAGAAATGGTAGCACCTAGATAAACAATAACGGCTCAAACTAAGACATGCTATACCCTGAAGGAATGCATACCTAATACCATCCAGCACTGGCAAATGTAGAGTTCAGTCTGCGAGTCCATCTCAACCCAGTACTTCTAATCCGGAACATAAATGTATACGTAAAAATCAACTAAAATTGCAATAAATAGTAGGTCTGAACCCATAATTTCAAAAATATAATGGGCTCACTGCTAAGAACTTAAATATTGAACTCAAAGTTTAAATCTTTAATCCACCCCAACCATCCAGAGGTTTGACTGTCAGCAAAGAACAACAGCATACATAATGACCAGTATACCAAAAAATGGAAAAGAGTGACACACCTGCAAGTGCTTTCACCAATTTGTCTTCCAACTCCCTCAGCTCAACTTTTAACTTGCCAAGTTTTGCTGGCGCAACCAATCAATTAAATCAAATAATCCAATCAATAAGATCCCAAATGAAGAAAAAGAAATAATCTTCCAGCTACGATTCTTGAGAATGATGCGTAGCTGAAAACCCTAACTTTAGAAAACTAGAAGTTCGAGTAAATATCGTACAAAAGCCTCAGAATTTAGCCTGTGGACAAAAACTTACACTGTAATTGAAGAGTTTCTTGTGCTTGTGTCTTGGTTGAATCGAGAGATTTTTTGAAGGAACGAGTGGCAGCATCGATTCTCTGCTGTTGAATTGGAATCTTCCTGTCACAAACCAATCTAAGTTCCTCCATTTTGTTCCTAGTAATTTCCCCTACGCTGATCTTCATCCCAATCTCAAAAGCTCTCTGCTTGCTTTTCTTTGAGATTTGAACACTGAGAGACGATATGCTTAGCCCGCCATTTTCATATCTTTATTTTGAAAATATATGATGGAATACTCTACACTTTTCTAAAAATCTTAATGATTGACAATAGTTTCTTGTTTTTATGTGCAATATAAAAAATTTAACACCTCCCTCCGTTTTAATTTATTTATCATTAAAATATATATTTGTTGTCATTTTTTCTTCTTCTTGCAATTATTTTTTTAAATGAATTCTTTTATAAGCTAAGGATCTATCAAAATAATTTCTCAGTTTTACAAAAAATAGAAATAATGTGTGCGTATTTTTTTACCTTCTCCAAACTCCTCTAATGAGATTATATTAGATATATTATTATTATTATATTCCCACAATTGCATATTAACATTAACTAATTGCTCAAATTGTAAAAAAATCAATAAAATAAAAATGACATTTAGTTGTCCAAGAAAGACCTAGAAAAACTTTAAATATCTAAACAAAAAACATATTAAAAATTGGTTAACTCTCTAAAAACTAATTGTGCCACATAAACTAAAACAAAAAATAAACATATGTTGAGCTCGTACTAATACAGACTCTTGTGACTAGTATTAATTAGATAGATGAGAGAAAGACATTGATAAAAAGGGTCCATTTATTCATAAATGGAAAACAAGCTTTCTGGGATTGACCAAATAATAGAATTGCACAACAACTATAGCACCTATGATTTACAGGGGCGGCTCAACGTACTTGGAGGCCTAAAGCGAAATTTCAACTAAAGGCCTAAAATCTTTTAGCTAGCAATTATTATATAACTTGTTAACATTATTCAATAAGTAATAAGTTGACAAAACAACTTATAAGCTTCTTCTTTTTTTATTTATTTAAAAACACATAAAATAAGTCAATCTAAACAGGCTTGTAATTCACTTTATCCAAAACATGATTTTTACTATTTATTCATATTTTTTATAAAGCTCTAACTTACCTATAGTACAAAAGGAGTCTAGAAAATTACAGTGCGAGAGTTAGTGAAGAGAATGTAAGAAGACAACAATTTTTTCTTGATTTCTTCTATTCATTGAGGTTAAGGTGAATAAAATATTATATATATTTTTTAATAAAAAATATATTTATCTTAGATAATTATTTTTTTCTATAAAAAAATTAACACATAATTTATTGTGGTAAAAATTAGAGGCCCCCTAAAATTGGGGGCCTAAGGCATATGCCTAATTTTTTTAAGCATTGAGCCGGCACTGATGATTTATACATAGAATTGTAGACAAGTGTAAAAATATAGATTATTATCTTGAGTTTAAATTTTATGCAAAATTAGTTACAAGTAAAAATGACACATTTTAATTGCGGAAAAGGATCATAGTTACCCTTGTATTATTCGAAATAGTTTAAATATGTCATTCGTTATACTTTTGGGCCAAATATATCCTTACCGTTATACTTTGGGCTAAATATACCCCTCATCCGTTAAAACTTTGAATAACGTGAAGGATTGTGATTAACTTGAAGGACCATATCTTTTTGTCCTAGACAACATCTGAAATAACTCATAATCCAATCCAAGTAAGGCTTCTCATATCAACATACAACAATGGAGTAATGTCATATTCATCTAAGTTGATGATTCTCAACATTTGAACACACACAACACTTACAAATCTCAGCAATTAATTGAAATTCTGATGAGTCAAGTGTCAACGGTGAAGAACTGGAGAATTTTGAATTATTATTTTTTTTCAAGCTCATTGTCAAATTTAAAGAACCTAAAAATGAATTCAGCTGAATCATACTAAGCAAGAGAAAATCTCAGCTTAAAAAAGAATAATCCAAATAATTTTCAATAATTCATTGATTTACAACAACTTCATATCACAAATTTGAAGGTCAAAGACCCAACAATTTCGTTTCCAACTTCTCCACCCAATGTGCATTATATGTTTAATTGTTTAGCGCGTCAATTCAAATCAATCAAATTTCAAGCATCACATCAATTGAACTTTCACAAAGTTTAGAATCAAACCCAGACAATTCGTTGAAAGAATTGTGCTTTTGTTTGCTTATTCAATAAGAACAAAACACAGTAAATATTTTTTTAAAAATTTGCAACTTTTTATCCAATATTTTATATTTTGATAGGCAAAATAAATGAAAACATTAATTATATAAATCAATTTTCATGTAATGCAGGAAGCTAAATATTTTTTACAAACAACTCGTTGTGCTTTTGTTTGTTTATAAATGGGTTTGGGCAAGAAAGTGTGGGTGTTGACTGAGACAAAAAAATATGGGTCCTTCAAATCAATCTCAACCCTCCACCTGTCTATTCTAAGATTGAGATTCAAATATTTAACGGATGAGGGTATATTTCGCCCAAAGTATAATGGTGAGGGTATATTTGGCCCAAAAGTATAACGAAATGCATATTTAAACTATTTTGAATAGTGCATGGGTAAATATAACCCTTTTCCATTTAATTGTACACGAAAGAAACCTTAAGAAATGACATTTAACAAATCACTTTTTAGATATATGCAAAATTTTAAACGTACAAGTAAAGAGTAATTTTTTTTTACCAGTCTCCTATATGTTAATTAGATATGCAATAATACACATTACTACACAACTATTTAATTTACTGTCAAGAAGTTGCTGCTTCTTTCAGTAACTCAAAGTTATAGTTTTTTTCTGTTAGCTACAGAGTGTTCTTCATCTTTACGATGACTATCTCGGATATTTTTTATAATATAAAATATATATTTTCTATATGTATTCATGAATATACTAGCTATCTGCTTTCATTATTGTTCAATGTAGGGACATTATTATCTCTGTGCAATAGTATAATGATGTTATTTATCGCTGTAACTATAATTTTATATTGTCATAGCCAATTAATCAATAAAATACCTTATAACATTGTTGTTTCTCAAAATAAGATCGAAGATTTCAACACAATAGCTGAAGGTAATATTGGTGGCCCCAGATCATAGTGTCAAGCAATACTTCATAAGGATTAAGAAAGACACGTATAAGGAATATATTGGTAATTTTCATTGTTTTGTAAGAACAAAAAGATTATGGGTGCTAATTATCAGAAACAAAAGAATAGGGAGCAAATAATAAGAACTAAGAAGTATATGTTAGGGGTGCAAATTGCAAAAAACTACTTAGAGCTCATAAGCAGAAATAGAGCCACTCCAGAAAACAACTCTCTTCTTCTTCTTCGGGCCTGTAGGCTATTCCATCCTTCTTCTGTTGCAGTTTGCTGAGTTAATCTCGGAGACTAATAGCTTCTCCTCGACTTGGGGCTCAATGGTATTCTTCTATTATGAGATAAAGATTTGATCTTGATGTTAATTTCTCATTTTATTTTTTGTTGTTGTTGGTGGGCACCAGTAATTCATCTTTCTTTTAATTTAATTTAAAAAATAAATGATACCTTAATCCTTAAATTTAAATTTAATCTTTCTTGATTTTACCTGTAAAATTTGTGAAAATAATTAGGTTTGTTTCCTGATAATTGCATAATTGATTGAATGCAAATGTTCTATTCATACCTTCAAATGATTTGAACAGTCCAAGAAATAATTTTGGGGGTTGTTTTTACCTATTCTTGCTTATTCTGATTGATTGTTTACTGTTCAAGTTTGACTAGACCATAGCTTATTCATTCTAGGCTTTTCCTCCGCGCACTGCGCCTCTCTCTTTGTATTCAGAAGTGTAATTACTTTGTTGCTTAACATATCGAGTTCCCCCATTGAGTTATCGGGGGCAACAAAACATTGCCATGAACATGGCTAGAGACAAGGTGGACCTCCATTTTGTCTAATTTTACTTATGCATAACCTGCATAACATTTTTGTTATGCCTTACCCATTTGAGCAATTTGCAGACCAATCGTTTTTGTTCTGTATGCATTCTAAAGAAGAGATTGCAGTTCACTGTATCCATATGATGTGCTGATTAATATATCTTCATCCATGATGCCAAAAACACATGTTTTGTAGTAAAATTTCATGTTTTCAGTTGGGAACGGAATGCGATGATCTTGGAAAGTATTGAGAGTTTGAGCCATTGGCCATTATGCCTCTAATATAACTATTTATTCAATTATCTCTACTTGAGCCTGGAAATTCAGGTATGCATACTGTTACAACTGAAAACGAAACTAGTATACATGTTTATAAATGCACTCCACACATATTTTTGCTTTCAAAGCTGAGTTATTGATTTTCTATTTTAAAAAAACATCCTGTAGAATACTGGCTTTGAAATAACATCGTCCATACATGTTTTTGCTTAAATTTCCCAAATATATTAGTTATGATAACAGGTTTGACAAAAAAGAACTGAGTTGATATCTTAAAAGATCTGAAAGGTGAATGGAGCTCCATTATGGTTTTAAAAGTTCCGGAATTTTTTTAAAATGGTAGGTATCATAAAAATCCCCAACTTAAGAAATTAGTAACTGTGAATTATCCATGCTAAACTTGGTCGTTCTTTAAGCTCTTCAATATATTGACAAATTATCACAAGATCAATAGTCAAGTTGGTTTGATCAATTGAATTAGGAAGTTCCCTTTGCTTCTGTGGTTGGAATTGTCAATGGATTGAGTCTTATTTTACTTTGCTAAAGCTCCATAACTCTAACTGGCTGGGGTCTAATGGTTGCAATTACTTCTGCATTGTTGTCCATCAATTTAAATTGGTAAATGCTCCTTTTATCCTAAAATCAAATTATCATAACTTGAGTAGTTCAAAAGGGATGTGAAATGTGTTATGGAATGGCTTTTATGTGACTGTGAATGATTTCTGGTTTGTGAATTGAGTTGAGATTAAGATGGAATTCAGTTGAATTTTGTTTTGCTGAAAATTTTGTGTTCTTCTGTAGTTTTCAAGTACTTACTAATTTATGTGTTGAAAAATGTAAAACCACATCAAAAAAATGTCTAGTGCGAGTTATCTCTCCTATGTGGTTGCGAGCTATTGCATAGGAGCGGGTGTTTTACGCTGTGCGCACCCAAAGGGTAGCGGCTGTGGGTTTCCCTTGTCATCAATAAAAAAAAAAACAAATGTCTAAGCTCAGATGCATTCAAAGAACTTTCGGGAAATGATTGAAAAACATATATTGCCATAGATATAATAACATAAAAGCAGAAAATAAAAGGCGACAACTAAATTACATTAAATAAGAAAGACAACATATAAACCATGAGATTTTGATTACATCATTACACTGCCCATTACAAGTATTCATAGAAAATCACCAATGATAAAGAGCAAACAAATATTTGCCAACATGCGATCTTCCCTTATAGAATACTGTAAAATGCAAAAATGTTTTTTTAAGATAATTCTTTCTGTGCTGATGCTAAACTAACATAACATTTTTGATCATTGTGATTTACTTGGCAGGACAATCATTAACTCCCGCAGTCCTGTGAACCTCACAGTTATTAGCAGATTATATTCGAAAACTAGTTCCTAATCTTCTAGAATGCTTTCGTCAGTTATTTCTCGATATTCAACTTTCTTACCTTCTTCTTTGCTTCTCGTGCAATTCGAAACCTTGCTTCATCATCACGGTTATCACTCCACCCCCTCCAATGCCCCAAACACCACTTCCTTTCCCAACTATGATGACCCAAATTCATCCCCAAGTTCAACTAGTGCTTCCTCTGACCCTCTGAACCCCACCATCATGCTGGAAACCCTCTCTTGTTACAACAATGACTGGAGAAGAGCTTTAGAGTTCTTCAACTGGGCCGAGACGCAGTGTGGCTTCCATCACACCAGCCAAACGTGCAACCAACTTATTGACATTCTGGGGAAGTTCTTTGAATTTGATGCAGCTTGGAGCTTGATTGAGAAAATGAGAAGTGTATCCTCCATGCCTGACCACACCACTTTCCGAGTCTTGTTCAAACGTTATGTGTCTTCTCACATGGTAAAAGAAGCAATTGATATGTTTGATAAGATGGAGGAATTTAATTTAAAAGATCAAGTTTCATTTTCAAATCTAATTGATGCTTTATGTGAGTATAAGCATGTGATAGAAGCCGAAGACTTGTGCTTCCCTAAGAACAAGAATGATGTGAAGTATTCATGTTTTAAGGTGGACACAAAAATATGTAATATGCTTCTTCGTGGGTGGTTCAAGATGAGTTGGTGGGGTAAATGTAGACAGTTTTGGGAAGAGATGGATACAAGGGGTGTGCAAAAGGATCTGTATTCGTACTCAATTTACATGGATGTACAGTGCAAGAGCGGAAAGCCATGGAAAGCTGTAAAATTATACAAAGAAATGAAGAAGAAAGGAATTGACTTGGATGTGATCGCGTATAACACTGTTATCCGTGCTATTGGGATTTCAGATGGTGTTGATGTAGCAGCTAAGCTCTGTCAAGAGATGATTGAGTTGGGGTGCAAACCAAATGTTTCTACGTACAACACACTGATCAAGCTTATGTGTGAAAATGGGAGGTATAGAGACGCATATAAAGTGCTTAGTCAAATGCCTCACAAGGGTTGCGAGCCTAATGTCATTACATACAACAGCTTCTTTGGTTGCCTTGAAAAGCCGAGAGAGATTCTCAAATTGTTTGATAGAATGATTGAAAGCGGAGTGCGACCTAGGATGGACACCTATGTCATGCTTATGAGGAAATTTGGAAGATGGGGATTTCTTCGACCGGTCTTTATTCTTTGGGAAAAGATGGAAAAACAGGGATTGAGTCCAGATGCGTCTGCTTACAATGCATTAATTGATGCCTTGGTACAAAAGGGTATGGTTAATATGGCACGTAAATATGATGAAGAGATGTTAGCAAAGGGCCTTTCAGCTAAGCCGAGGGTAGAACTGGGGACAAAGTTGACTACTGCTGACTGTGAAGGCAGCTGATGACAATGCAGTTAAGATGTAAAAAGCCCATGTTGAACTTCAGCTGTTCTTTGTCATCCTTGTGCTTGGTAGCAGCAGGTGATCCTCCTTTTGAAGTGTCTACAAAGTGCAAAAGCAACGCCTCATGAATTGACATTCTTTGAAGATACCAGAATGTGTTTCAGTGAGCTACGTGTTTGTGGCTTCATTGCATCAGGTCTTGTGCATCTAAATCTGGCAAGCCCTCTGTTGACCTCAAGTCATTTTTGGTTAGAATGCTTATTTGACCGCACTGGAAAGAAAGAATCAAACTGTGGTTTTTACCCTTTGGGATTCTTTTCGATGTATACACCGACCTCTAAAGATGGTGAGTAGTAGCCAAACAGGAGTTGTTTCACATCACCTGTGTTGATTGGGGACCTTGAAAGTTTTGTACCAATTTCAGAGGCAATGAGAGATTCTATTGTAAAGATAACAATAAGTAACTTTTTATTTCTTTCAAACAAGAGGTGATCTTTTGAACTCAACAAACTTGTATTATGTGTGTATTCTAAGTTGTTTGTTACTAAAATGTTCAAAAGAGTGAGTTCAGACAGGTTATAGCTTGGAATGTTGTTAGTAAATGTTGCTGCTGTTGCTGCTACTTATCAGTAAGCACGAGGCAGCAACACAAGATAAAAACTTATCCGCATCGTTTGTTTACATCAAATCAATGATAGCATGATGTGTTTTGTGCATTTTCCTGAGTTGTATTTCTCAGTTTGATGGAGTAATAAATATACTTATTTATAAAAAATAAATAGAAAAAGTAAACAGGCAAATGAGTTTCATCTTATCGTATATATATAATTTTTTAATTACCTAATTATACGGTATAATTTTCGGGCAATTTGACACACTACGATAAATAATCCAAAATATTTGCTTACTTTTTTAATTGACAAATTTTGTGATGAAATATGTAAAATTTTAGAGAAAGGTGGAGAAGTTTTATAAATTGCCTTTTTTCTTTCTTTCCCCCCTTTGCAATTTTACCCCTCAACGGAAAATGGTCAAATTTGTTTCTCTACTATTGAAAATTAATTATATTTATCCATCATTATACTTTTTCAATAAAATTGTCTTTATCATTCACCTTTGAATAAATATTTATCCCTCAATTATTATTTTCTTGGCCCCCACCTTTAGTTTGCTATGTGGCGTTCTCGTGAATTTTCATTTTTCTAAAATTTAATTATTTTAACCTGATTCATTGTTAAATTCGTCTAAATTTGCAATATAAATCCATCCCAAATGTTCTCAAACCTTCAATTCTTTTCGGTCATAAGAAACATCGACTAAGCTAGGGTTCCTGATGATTCTTTATGTGCGGCTCGAGGCTTCAAAATCTTCTCAACAAGTAAGATTTTTATTACTTAAACTCTTTATTAAAGCTATTTTAATCATGTTTTACTTCCTAATTTACATGTAACATTACATGTTGGAATTGAGGAATCAAATCCAAAAGGAATTGAATTTTACAACAATCTAATAGATGACTAGAAAAAAAAATTGTATTATGAAATAAGCTATTAAAATGAAAATCAAACTTGATATGAAGCTAATCAATTTATTTCAACATAAGAAATGCAACCTTATGCAACTTTGTTTTACTAGGATTTATCACAAAAGTTCAAAGATTTATAGGAGGGATTTTTAAGCAAATTGTATAATATATGTATTTGAATGAGTTTTCTTTTCCAATCACAGGATCTGCCACAAAAGTTCAATTATTTTCTAATCATTAGAAACATCAATTAAGCTAGGATCTACCACAAAAGTTCAAAGATTTGTAGGAGGGAGTTTTAAGCAAATCGAATAATATATGTATTTGAATGAGTTCTTTTTTCAGTCATAGGATCTACTACAAAAGTTCGATTCTTTTCCAGCCATTGGAAACATCGACAAAGTTAGGGTTCTTTGTGATTCTTTATGTGTTGATCGAGGTTTCAAAATCTGCTCAATAGGTAGGATTTTTGTTACTTAAACTCTTTACTAAAACTATTTTTATCATGTTTTACTTCCTAACTTGCATGTAAGGAATCAAATCCAAAAGGTCTGAATTCTACGACAATTTAATAGATGTTATACTAGGAAAAAAAGGGTTATACGAGGAAACATGCTATCTAAAAAAATTGAACTTGATATGAAGCTAATCAAATTTATTTCAACATTAGAAATGCAACTATATACAACTTTATTTTGTGGAATGTACCACAAAAGTTAGAAAATTTGTACGAAGAATTTTTAAGTAAATCGAATAATATATGTATTTGAATGAGTATATTGTCATATTGTGTTCCATAAGTGAAGTATAAATTCCTAGCTATTAAACTCTTATTTATGCTAGTTTACTTATTACAGGACAGAATTGGGAGTTTGAGAATTTTTGGGATGAATTAATTTTACAAAAAAAATAAATTAAATTGAGAGTAATTCAAATTAGAAAAAAATAGTACGGAGTAATTTACATAAACATCACATAGAAAATAAAAGTGGAGATAAATAATGGAAATTAGTGGTTTAAAAATAATAATGTGTTCAAAATTGAATCAAGACATTTAAAACGAAAGTATAATGATACTAAATTTAATTTTTTCTATAATTAAATTAGAGTCAGACTAAATACAAATATAACTTATTTTTGAGTGCAATAGGGCAATTTTGACCCTTTTTCATAGATACAAATAACAGAAGAGCAGAATAGAGTGTTCTCTGCTTCGTCTACAGTCTTCCTCCTTTCAGTTTTGCACTTTCGCTGAGGAATTTGGCAGCCGACTCTATTATCATAACACTCCCAAGGAGGCCAACAACTTCTCCTCAATCTGAGACACAATGGTATTCTTTTAATTTCAATAAATATTTGATTTTGCTATTCTAGGTTCTTCCTTATCTGCAATTTTTTTTAAAAAAATTACAGCTGGTGATTGTTTCCGTTTCTCTGTTGTTGGTTTGCACTTGTATTGCGGAATTGTAGTTAATTTCGATGAGGACTGAAATTAAATATGTCATGCTGGTGTAGCTTATTGTGGATGTTGAAATCTTCTTTCACTTGTTTTGATACCTTTGGTTAATTCGTAAGCAAAGATGACACCTTTAGTTAAAAACACAATATTTCTTGAATTTTACTTTTAGGTTTTTGCTTAATCCTTTTGGTGTCCGGCTAGCTCTGTCACACCTCGACTAATTCTACGTGTACCTGTCATCTTTCACCACCAATAGGTACCCGTCTATCAAGGCTAGAACATATGGGAAGAAATCACCTAGTGTGTAGTCTTTGCTGGGATTCGAACCTGAGACCTCATGGTGCTCAACCCACTACATTGACCATTAGGCCACACCCCGCGTGGAAGAAGAAGTCTTTCTCTTCTGCACTGTTATGTATATAATCAAAGTAGTTGGGAATTTCACGGGAGAGTTATCACTTGGGATATATTCACTATCTTTTCTCAAAAAAGACATCGTGGATGCTCGCCTAGTTGAAATTGCCTCAATCTTCTCTTCTCCTTAATTGAATAGGCTTATAAATCCATCTTTAGCTCTTATTTGTAGTTATTGAATGCCATTTTTTTTATGTATAGATCAAACGGCTTCGTGCACCTTTATCATTATTGGAAGTATATTAATTTTTGAGTGTCACTTCCTACCCTTGTGGCATCGATGCTAACCAACTAAAATCTAGTCCAAGGTTTTAATATTTGTTCCTCTAAAACTGGATTTTTGTGTAATCTTTTTGTGCTACCAAGAAACGGAAAACTAAAAGTTATCTCCTATTACTTTTTATATTTGCTTTCAGGGTCTTGATTTTTGCTCCTTCTCAAAATCATGTTCATATTATGCATGCATGGGTGTGACCTAGTGGTCAATGAAGTTGATTGAGAACCATGAGATCAGGTTACATTTCCAACTGAGATAAAAACACTAGGTGATTTTTTTCCCACCTGTCTTGACCTTGGTGAATAGAGTTACCTAGTACATGTGCCATTGGGAGGTGGCAGGTACCTTATGGAATTAGTCAAGGTGTGCACAAACTTGGCCCCGACACCATGGTTATCAAAAAGAGAATCATGTTCTTATTTCAATGATCTAGATTATTTTCTTTTTCCGATGTTGCACTCAAATAGTTAAAATCATTGAATCAAACCCACTTTTAAACTTTTTAGATCAACATATATCTTTGGACTTTTACATCCTAGGCAAAATCAAAGATCTTCTCCAAGAACACAAATCAATCCCTCCAACTTGCTTTGTCTCATTGTTATGTCATAGTCCATAGGAAGCTATGTCGAGCTTTAGCATGCTTAAATGATAACTGAAACTCTCATGATCGTTATTTCCTACTTTCATAATCTGACACTTTGGTAGTGTGTCTTCACATGCTTTCATTATCAAAGGATGTTTTTAAGGTGCTATTATTTTTTTTTATCAATTTTCTGGTTATGTATCTCTTTCAACTCTTACTTCTGTGTTAATTTGTTGATTGCTTTACATTTTACATCATATCAGATAGGAGGCCTATTCCACTTAAGAAAATTTTGATGAAATAATCCTAATAATTAGAGTATTAGACTACGATTTGAATTGTAGGTTTACGGGGCTCATAAATCTTTGCTTCTTATTGAAAGGCTCTTGTCATGTCCTTAGTCTTCAACTAAGTGCGTGTGCGACACTTGACAACTTGCTTACGTTCTTACACAATTTGCTCACTATCTCGCTATGTCAAGTCAATCTAAGACACTAGGAATTCGCTAAGGTAATGATAGAAAGAATACAAGAGAATTGCAAGGGACATTTGTATTGGAGAGAACTTGAATTATTTGCTTCGAGATTTTACAAATGAATACTCCTCTATTTATACTACTCACTTAGGGGCTAATGTGCAAATAATAATTAGTACTCAAATCCTTTCATATTTAAAAGTAGGTCCGTTCTCTAAATTCTCTACATACCTAGAATATTCTAAGACCTTTCATAAATTCTTCTGAAATATTCCATAAGAATTTAGAGTCTTTGCAAACTTTCCATGGTTCTAGAATATTCAACAAATGCTAGCATCTTCCTTCTGTAAGCTTCCACATGGCAAAAAGGTGTGTCAAGTGGTGAGCAATAGACCACCCTCCACCCAAAAGCGCAACCATATCCCCAACTCAATAAGCGCTAGTTGGCACACCTTTTTGCCATGTGAAAGCTTACATAAGAAGCTTTTGTGGGAAGATTCTAGAACTTTGGAGAGTCTCTTAGAATGACTCTAAATTCTTATGGAATATCTAGGAATTTTTTTAAAAGGCTTTAGAATATTCTGGACATGTAGAGAATTCTAGAGAAGAAACCTACTTGTAAATATGAAATGATCTGTTTAATAATTATTATTTGCATATTATCCCTAATCGTGTAGTATAAATAGAGAGGTATTCATCTGTAATATCATCAAGCAAATAATTCAAGTCTCTCCAATACAAATCTCTCTAGCAATTCTCTTTTGTTCTTTCTATCATTCCCTTAGCGATTCCTAGTGTCTTAGGCCAACTTGACATAGCGAGGTTGTGAGCAAGTTGTGCAAGAACGTGTACAAGTTGTCATGTGTCGCACGCACACTTAGTTGAAGACTAAGGACATGCCAACATTGTATCGAGCAAGGTTGTAACTAAGAAAATGACAAACGACGGAGAAATCAATGATGCTAACTCCCAAGATGCTACTAGCACGAAAAGCTATAACAAAAAGAGAAGTGTCGCCAACAAAAACCAGGAAATGTCGCTCAAGGTCGAGTCAAACGAAAGACTTACATTCATAAACCTTCTGCCACTGAGGTGAGCAAGGATGATGTGGAGGTCCTGCCTGGAAATGTCTCGCTTTGGTAGAGAGTGGGTTATGAAGGTTAATGTGTGGATGAATGTAGTCGAGATATTTGTCCAACGCTTTGGGAAGGTAGAAGACACTCAAGTGTTCTTGAGGGGAACACTCTTGAAAAGATCGAGAGCATCTGAAATGACTTGGATGGGCGAAAACAGACCAAGATAGAGATGATTCCATGGAGGCGTTGAGCACTATCGATGCCATGAAGGCAAAGATGAGGCACTCAAAGAGCAGGTCGGCACTGGTGTGACTAAGACAACAAGAAATGTTGTTGTAACGAAGGAGGCCAAGATTGAGGCTCCAAAACCACCGGTGTTCAAAAGGGTTCATAATGCTCAAGAAGTAGAGAATTTTGTTTGGCACTTGGAGAACTATTCTTGGCATGGAAAAGTGAGGGGCTACAAAGCCAAGATCAATACTATCGTGTTGTACCTGTTAGAGACTGTCATGCTATGGTGGAGACGAAAAGTGGCTGATGCTAAGAGAGGTCTAGATACTGTCTTTTACAAGGCAAGACGCAAACTTCAGGAGTTGAAGCAAACATGGAGCATACATGACTATGTCAAAGAGTTCACCACCCTTATTCTCTAAATCCCCAACCTCACCAGCAATGACTTGTTGTTCCACTTTATGGATGAGTTGCAAAATTGGGCTAAGTAGGAGTTGCAACGCCAATAAGTCACAGATATAGACGAAGCCATAGTAGAGTCTGAGTCTTTGATGGATTTCTGGCATGATATGTATGACAACGGTAAAGGTAATGAGTTAAAAAGTTGTAATGTTAAAGGTGGGGGAGATCATTGAAAAAGCTAAGAGACCTACTAACGCCGCAACAAGACTTAAGATACTAATAAGTTCAATTTCTAGAAGTTGAGTGGCCACCAGAGCTACGTCAAAGAGAAGGGATGCTACATATGCAGAGGGCCACACGGTTTCAGGAAACTTCCCGACTTAAAGAGTCTCAATGCTATGGTGCATGAGCAGAAGGGAAAAAAAACAAAGAGAGGGCACAACACAATTAGGTATGATAGGACTATGTGGAGCTGTCAAGTAGAAATCTATGCAGCCTGACGACAATGACAATCAGTACATGAATCTCACTATCAATAACAAACCCGCTTGTGTACAGGTGGACACTAGATCAATTTATAATTTTGTGACCGAGGCTGCAACAAAGAGACTAGAGTTGAAGGTTGCTCCAACTCACTCCCGCATTAATACCGTGAATACAAAGACTCAAAATGCTCATGGTGTAGCCTATGGTGTTGGTGTCAAATTAGGCAATTGGAAAGGTACGACAAACTTTACCGCCCTAACAGTGGATATCTGTGATATTGTTCTAGAGTAGTAGTTCTTTAGACACTGTCACACTTTAATCACCCCTACCTCTACGTCTCTTGGTCATGAAATAAGAAGGAGCTCACATGGTGCCTACAGTGACTATGTCGCACAGAGAGAGCCAAGCACAACTTTCGGCTATGTAGTTAGTCAAGGGGCTCAAGAAGAAGGCGCTGACGTCCATGGCAACCTTGCAAGTTTGGAGCAAGACATGGGTTACCATGAGACATTGTCGCCTTGCTAAGAGAAGTGAGTGAGAGAGCACAAAGATGCTATGCCCAAACAAACTACCTAAACACTTGCCTTGTAGGCATGAGGTAGATCACAAGATTAAGTTAGAGCCAGGAGTTAAGCCACCCGTATACGCTTCTTATTGCATGGTACCGCTTGGAGCTTATGAAATAATTAATAGAGTAATTGGATGCCGGTCACACCCATCCATCGAAGACACCTTTGGCGTGCCGATGTTATTCCAAAAGAAAAAGGATGGTTTATTGTGTTTATGTGTAGATTACCGGGAGCTTAACAAAGTTAAAATGAAGAACAAGCATTTGATCCCGCTAATAACTGACTTATTTGATAGACTTGGACAAACCAAGTACTTTATCAAGGTAGATCTTCACAAAGGCTACTACCAGGTTCGCATTGTGGAAGGGGATGAGCCGAAGACAACATGTGTGACGAGATATGGAGCCTTTCAGTGGTTGGTAATACATTTCGTCTCAACCAACACACCTGTTACATTTTCCTCTCTCATGAGCTAGTTCTTTCATCTCTATCAGCTATCTTGATAAGTTTGTAGTAGTATACTTAGATGATATAGGCATCTATAGCAACACCTTGGAGGAGCATGTAGAGCACTTAAGAAAGGTATTCCAAGTCTTGCTGGAGAATGAGTTATACATCAAGAGGGAGAAGTGCAAATTTGCACAATCAAAGGCACCCTTCTTGGACATGTCATCATCAATGGCGAGCTACGCATGGACAAGGCTAAGGTACGAGCTATCCAAGAGTGAGAGGCACCTACAAAGTTAACTGAGTAGAGATATTTCCTTGGCCTTGTTAACTACTATCGCCGGTTCATCAATGAATATCCAGCCAAAGCAACACCATTAACTAACTTGTTAAAGAAGAACAAGCCATGAGTTTGGGCGGAACATTGTCAAAAGGCGTTTGAAGGCATTAAGACAATTGTGACAGTCTTGGCATTGCCTGACTTTACCAAGACATTCAAGGTACATACATATGCATCTGATTTTTCTATTGGGGGTGTCTTGATGCAGGATATTTATCCTATAGCATTCGAGTGCCGCAAGTTGAATGAGACAGAATGATGTTACACAGTGCAAGAATGTGAGCAAGTTGTCAAGTGTTGGACGTCCACTTAATTGAAGACTAAGGACGTGACACTCTGGTCAGTTACTTTTGTGGGCTGACACTGATAATCAGATTAACTTTCGGTCCATGATGCACAATAGAAGATAGTCAACCTCACTGTTACTGCTTCTGCCATTTGGCATATTTCCTTAGGTTATCATTCTTGTACGAGGTCCTCCTAACTTCACATGGATGTCTTTTGTTGACTGCACTTGCTGAACCCATAATTTCTGCCTCATCAAGCCAGTAAATTCCTTAGCACCTGCCCGTAGACTGAATTCAAGAACCAATTTAAACTCTGATCTCCATTTACTCAACAGCCTGAAGCCCCTTCAACATCCCTTCTTGTCTTAATCCTTTATAATCACACCTGTTGTTTATTATGCACATTCTTGGCCCTGCCAGATAAGTATCTATATATGTGGTTGCAAGTGGTCATGGCCTCTTTGATTTTTGTGAAGTTGTCGTCATAGTGCACTTGAATCTCTTTATTAGTTTCCCAGGTTGAAAAGCTACCTAATCAACTTTTGTTTATGTGTTCAGACACACACTTCTAGTTGAGTGAGTTTAGAATGGATTGTTTGTGGGTTGGTGAATGTGAATAGAGTGAAAAGATACCATAGCTGATAAATATGTAAAGAAAACTTTGATGATACTTCCCACAATATACTGTGTAGAGAAAAACTTCAATAACACTTCATACAATATATTCACGGTTTCTGTCGGAGTGCTTTCCAGATTGTTTTTTGTATTATTCTGGGAAGATGCATGTCTTTTTAGTTTATTAAGTTAAAAGGGATTGGCAGAATACACATTATAGTTTGTAGCACCCCAAGTGTGTGGCCTAGTGGTCAATGAAGTGTTGGTGAGTACAGTTACCCGACACTTGTGCTGGTGGGAGGTGGGAGGTAGCAGGTAACAAGTGGAATATCGAGGTGTGCACAAGTTTGCCCAGACACCACTATTAGAAAAATATGAAAAAGTATATCTTGTATACAATACTAAAAGTTTCATGTGAAAAGATCTCCAGGAGCCACAAGTCAATGAGCATTTTAAAAATTGGCCTGTAAGAATAATGCTATACTTTGCCATAGTCCAAGAGACTGCTAAAAATTGCCTATTTTAGGAATCATTGCCATGTCTCAGTTGAAAATTTTAATTCATTATTACTGTAGTATTCATCTAATCTGTACAGGTTTAATTATTACTTGAATATTTAGTGTGTCTTTTGCACAGCTGTTCTTGCCCAATGTTTGATTTAGTTTTGCATCAACCAGTATCTTGCTTTGTGGTAGATGACTAGCAATTTATTCCTAGAATCCTTTCATGACAGGAAAATTTTGATCATCGATTTCAACGAACTGATCAGTGGAAGCCTGTCTATTCCTGGTTAGAGACTCTAGACACAGACGAGGTGGTTAAATCAAAAGAAATTATAGACTGGCTTACTGAGAATTCTGATGTGAGAGAACAATTAAATTCAAGGCATTCACGTTATCATTTGATGCATTACATAAAAAAATGCCACATGAAAATTCTGAAGAGAAAGGAGAAGAAGAAGGTATAATATCTAGTTTATCGGAAGTTGAGTAGGCTTTACTGCATTAATGTCATGTTTCCAATATCTCAATTTCTTCCTCCACTGAATGAAAGAGGAATTCAGTAACTCCATATGTCTGATCATGCATGCTTTTGTGTCTGCATTGTCAACTTCTAATTCTCTTCATCTTTATTCAGCATTAAACCTATTATTGACAATTTGTTCTGCTGGCAGGGACCAGGATTCACCAAAAACGTGTCTGTGTCAGAAGTCAAGAAAAGTGAAGATGTGAAGAAACTTGTTCCAGTTCAAACTACAGGTGAATTCTGTTGTTACATAGAATGTAGTGCATAACAAGAGTAAGCACGTTCTAAGTTGTCAGAATAATTAATCATTACTAGACCTTTTTGTATACAATGAATATTTTTGTGCAAGGGAGAAAAGCTCATATGAATCTAATTATGTGGTTTCCTGTCGTATCCCTGTAGACAAAGCAAACTCGTGAATCAGGACCGAGGAGTTTATAGTATAGTAAGTCAGTGTTGGAAGAGTATTCCTATAGAAGCGGAGATCCTGCTTAATACATGAACCGAACAACATCTTTGAATTACTTCAAAAACATATGTATCCTAAATGATAAATCCATGCTTAATTACCTTTGCTACTAGCTTGTACTTCTCCATGTTTGCATGTACTCCAAAGACCCATCTGCCCATTGTGGCATCCATTTTATCAGTTTCCATGATCCTTGTTGTTTAAGGTATATGCTTAATAATTATTGCCATATTGAACGTCTTCTACCACGTCCTCCTGTCAGGAACTGGCTGTAGAATATTATAAATCAGATTATTTTCTTTAAATCATAATTTGCTTTATTCATGGATACTACAGTGTTCTTTGAGGGTGTGTGTGATCAGATCTTTAGGTATTGAGAAAAAGTGTTTAATTGATAAAGTATTTTGAGGTGGGGGCTATGGATGGTTTGGCATTTGGAATCAGAAGTGTTAATTGGTTTTAGGTCTTCTTGAGAGTTTTTTACTTGCTATGGAGAACGGAAGGATATGGTGGAAGTAGTAAGTCATGGAGGTATGGCCTGTTTAGTCGGTGGTTGGGTCGTTGGCAGTGGCAAACCATTGATGTTGTTCCAGACAGCTGGAGAATGACTTAAGTTGGATATTGCTTGCTTAGGTGGCAGTTGATTCTTTAGGCGTTTTTTTTTTGTTTAGATTATTTTAATTTCTTTTTGGTTTAATTTAGATGCAAATTGCATTTTTGGGTTAGGACACTGCTTTGTCAATTGCTATTGATGTTTTGACATAAGAGAGATGGTTGCCGGGATTTTCTTGGAGGGTGGTTTACTGAGATATAATACCATGTATCTAGCACCTTTTTTCTTGGGGGTGTTGGGCAGAGGGGATGGTGAATAATTGAGCTAGCATTCGATGATGGGAATACTTTTTGAGCTAACATGCTATTTACTTCTCAGACATGGAGAAACTAACTTGATTTTCACAAATATGGAATGACATGTACCATTTAAGAAAAGGGTTCAGTAGGAATGGGTTGTTTCATCGAGTATGGGTTGGGGTATGGTGAAAGTTTTGTCCATTTTTGCATGAATATGCTTATTATTCTTCTCCTGTTGAACAGTTTTTGTAACTCAAGTAAGGTTGCTTCCTAGAAAATGCCCTATTAAGCCTTCTTGTCTTCTCCTTTGCTAATTCTCTTGCTGATATGGGTTTTATTGATCCAACTTTGTAGACTTTAATTTCAGCACCGCCGTACCTAAGGACACTGAACTCTATAAAGCAAAACAAACAGAAGCTTTGCAGAAATATGAGATGTAAGATAATTATTCCAATCTAAATTCGTTTTCATTCAATCTTCATAAGATATTTGTTTACTTGTGACACAATCTTCCCTCTCATGTTTATGTTTTTTCAGTCTAGTGGAGTTGGAGAAACAACTTTCGATGCACTTCCCAAAGCCTGGAAACATTGGCAATAAAGGAAACTAATCACTGCATAGATTTCAAGCTGATTTTGCACATCGATTAAAATTCAGAATGACACAGTTTTGCAGTGTATTGATTATAATTTCACATCCAGTTTTGCTGGTTCGATTGCTTTGTTTCATCGATTCTGCAAAACTTCGACCATGGCCTATAGAAACTAGTTTGAGAAACTAATTCCTTTCGTAATTTCTGGTTCTTGCTCCCCGTCCCACCACTCTCGACGTCCCTGTCCTTGTGAGAAATATCCTTGATTCTATGGTAATGTAAGAAGTATGGAATATTAAGTTAGCAATTAGTTCATTTGCCAATTCTCATTTGTATAAAATAAAGTCTTGCTAGTTATGAATATCTCAAAAATATTTGAATGAAAGGTCTCTATCATTCAGTAGTTGTTACTTGTTCTATGTTAGGTAGGTTGGCTAATAAATAGTAGGGTAAATGGTACAATTTTATAAATGAAGCTACCAAATTTCCCATATACACATTCTGAAATCCTCAGGAAAACTTTGGGCATTTGATAATGACTTTTCCATGATTGGTCTATTATAAGTACTACTGTATATATGGTTCATTATAAAGTGCTTTATTCGATTTTATTGCATGACTTTTTATGTTTAGTACAAAAAAATCAATCAAAAAGGAGGATACTATTGAGGATTGTAACTATTTGCTAGAAATAAATAAGACTACACATATTTGAACAAATATAGAGAATTTCTACCAAATGAACTATACATATATTATATATCTACTGGCTATTTTTAATTTAAACGGTTTGATGAATGACTGTTTAATTAGGTTAATTCTTTGTAAAAATCAAATTACGGAAACTTGTATGAGCTAACAAGAGGGAGTTATTCGGATGATCTCTAGAGCATCCCCAAAATTCCCCTTTTTGTATTTTTTTGTCAAATGAAGGAGAAATCATTGTGGTGGCATGAGGAAAGTTGCAAGCATGGGGGAAGTGAAAAAGAAATAAACTAAATTAAATTAAAGAAAGAGACCATTTTGTAAAACAGACAAATTTGTTGCTTAATTAATTCAATTATTGTTTCTTAGAGCCGAAAGTACAAAAGTTGACGAAAGCATTAACCTTGGAAATGAACAACATTTCGAGATGCTAAGCTAATTAAAAGGAGTAATCATTTGGTTTAGCGAATGCAATTAGAAGAAGCAAAGCATACATCAAAGTTGGAGGAAAGCACATTAAAAGACCTAAAATAAGTTACATACCAAATGAAAAAGGAAAAATCTTTTTGGCCAGAAAATTTGTCCTGATATTTCACCTATGTTATTTTACTTTTAAAATATTTTTACCCTTTTAACTTTAATACATTTTAATTAAAAAATGGAAAAAAATCAATTTATTTTAAAATGAAAAGGATATCATAAACTTTTTCAATTTCTGGCCAAATTTTATGGCCATTTATCATTATCCTGAAAAAGATATGTAGTCTTTTTTTTCTTTTTAGTCCTTTTCTCTTCTTCTTTGTTGTGGATTGGGATCACTCGCTAGTTAACTCAGATTGAAGCAAGATTTTATGAGAACATATTTTTTCATATTTGGGAGTGAGGAACACAATAACGTCTCGATTTACTTAATTATACTCTAATTTGCAGAAAAAAAAGTCATCTAGGTGCTTCTTGTTGCTTTGATCCCCTCAACTACGTTTAGAACATTGTCTAGGCTAAGAGCCATAGTAAGTTAGTATTTTTGGTTATTTCTTCCTCGTTGTTGATATCGACAAGGCCCAGCCAAATGATGTCTGCTAGTTGGGAGTGACAGAGGTTGGTTGTAAAGTAACTAAGGGTGGTGTAATTTTTTAACTTGATCGATTTATTTTGATAAAAAAATGAAGATAGTATCGTTTTTAACTATCCACTGGTAAATCTGATCAAATTCCGATGAAATAAAATAGTTAGACGATTTCTAATCATTTAGTATCTCTTCTACAAGAAAGTAGTACTCATATAATGAATTAGCTAAAATGCGTGGAAGCTGACTCGAAACACTATGTCTTGAAACATGGAATATATCACATTATCAAACTTTCATTAATTAGTTCATATATGCATCGTCCATTTGTAGGGTAATAAGCCATGCAATAGACTGATATGGGCCAATCTTGTTGAAGGAAAAAGAAGAGGCCAAAGTATATAAAATTTGGACCATTATAGAGATAAACTTTTCTAATTGGGATTTGTTTTATAATCCCCATCTAATCAAAGAACATGCACATATCCTCCCACAACAAACACAAAGACAGAAGGTAGGTTACAATAATTAATTAAGTGAAGACCCCTTTTCCACCCTAAATACCAACAAAATGAAGAGTTAAATTATTGCTAAAAATTAAAGTAGCACATCAACTATATATATACCTTACTTTTATTCATTACTGTTCTTGACTTGATCCTCCAATTGTTCTTTTAATTAGAAAATAATTAGTTTAATATTAAAAAATACACGAAAAAGTTAAGTTGGTACAATTTTTGAATGCTAAACTCGAGGGGAGCATAAAACAACGTATTTGAGACATTATAAATTATTCTAACAGAAAAGCTATATATTAATTAAAAGGATAAAGAGACTATCCACTAATTGACCAATTTCAGATATGATTTTGGTGTCAAGGATGTTGCATGCAAACATTCCTTAGCAATATTTTTTATTGTCATCTAATGTTCGATATTTATATAAGGATAGGGATATTTTTGGGACGACTCTCCCAAGTCCTAACAAGAACTTTTCTTATCTTCTTGAACTCGAATTTGAGTTATCACATGAAGGATGCACACTAATTAATATCTCATATATACTTTGGTAGTCAAATTTCTTATAAAAAATAATTTTTAAAAGATGAAGTGGTGATCTAACAACTCCAATTCTCCAATCATAACCAAAACTTTTAAAGGAATTTATGACTAAAGCAACAGAAAAAAGTGCTTTATTTCTAGCAATGACGATATATTAATTAACATACCTAATTGAATGGAAAATGATGTTAGTGCTTCTAATTTTTTTTAAAATTAATGTTCTTTCATTAATCACTTTTTGACTAATAATTTGTTATGGAGAAAAACATACGTTTGGGAGAAGATTCCAACAAAAGTAGAGCCTAATATGGATTTGCTTGACGAGAGCATCCAATAATTCAACTTAATTAATGAAACTTAATATAAAGTTTAGGACACGATAAGAAAAGGAATTAATGACACTTGCTTGGTCTAAATTGTAATGTGATTTAGTGGTCTGTTCAACCAAATTGTAAATATTATCACAAATTTTAGTTGAACAATTTTAGGCTTTTTCTTAAAAGAAGAAAAACTTGCATGTACTTTAAATAATTTATCGAGTTTAAATAATAGGAATCGAAAAACTGAAAATACAGGCCGTTTTCATTTTAGTTAAAGCACTCTCCACCATATAGATATGAATTATTTGAGTTTAATAAGTTCTGAATACCGAATGATTCGAAAAAAAACCCATATATGAGGTACTTTCCCTGAATCGATCAAGGAAAACGGGTCCAATTGGACCATATTATAATTTTAATGGAAGATAATGATCGTATATGCATATTATAATTAATTAGTAGTAGTAATTAATGATAAAATATGCATATATATGAACCTACGATATATTTATTGATTTGACGTAATTATTAGGTGTAATTGATTTTTTCTCTTTTCTTTTGACTTTTGAGTACGGTGTGAAAGAAATATCATACGGAGGTGTATATTATGAGGTTCTTAATGTCCAATAAATATTACAGTACTGTAAAGGCTAACGATAAGAAATGTCCCTACACTGATAACAAGTTTAATACGACTGCCAATTGGTGGGTGGTACTATATTATGTTGTGTAGTTAAACAATACAAACGCATAGTATATTATATATATATAGAGAGAGGGTGGGGGTGGGGGGTGGGGGGATATATGATGAAACAGTTGGAATTCCTTCCTTCTAATTAACTATAAGTCTTGTTCTAGGGTTAGACATAATATATAAATAAGCATTCAAATTTTGGCTTAAACCGACATACAAACACTTCAATTTTGAATGTGCATATCTAGACATCTCAACTTATCTTCATTGTGTCAGTTGAACACTCTAGCTTATAAAAGTATTATTTAGACACCTTCAATATTTATATGTGTTACGTCAATATCAGGTATCCAAGAGACACAATGGGACGAGTTGAGTGTTTAGTTGTCAGTTGATATGACGTTGAGATATCTAGATATGCACGCTCATATGATATTTATGCCTCTTAATTTTGAGTGTGCATACATAGATATTTAAATTTGTATAAATTGAATAAGTAGACGCTCACGTCTGACATGGTATGTGTCCTACATGACATAATATAAATCAGTTCGAGTATATTTTAGCGAATTGCTATATAGACAAGTGTGTCTAGTTATTCAACTTTATACAAACTTAAATATTTATTTATACTTAATTTAAATTGAAGAACATAAATATCAACTAGACTCATATTTTAGAATTTTTAGATTCGCTTCGACGCCCCTAGAAACATTAGTTGTAATGGTGATGGGCTTTTAAAAATGTACTTTGCAAGGGTATTTACTTTTCTTTTTATTCATGTTTCTTGGAAATCATCATACAAGTTTAGAACTTCCACCTATACGTGCATGTGCTACTTTTTAACTCTTTTCCAATGTACAATCATTTTGCATTTATAAACAAATCTCTTGTGTCGTTCTTAATTTATTACACTTTGCCATCATTAATTTTAATTAATTTATTTAATTTGAAGCTTAAAATTGCCGCAATAGATATGATAAAACTTGAGTTGTAGACTTATTTTGAACAGTTATAGTTGCCTTAATGATTCTTGTCTTTTTTGATCAATCCCTTCATGTCGGCTGACTATGTCCACTTAATCATTAAAACTTTAATAATCATGCACATTATGTTAATTGTACAACCCTTAATAGCATTAGTTCATGTAAGGATAATTAATTAATTAATTAAATGACTATTTTTATGAAATGATAGCAATACACAAAACAAAAATTGGCCCCTCAAAACACACATGATGTGCCTATAGATGTGACTCAACAAATTCCCATAACTTAAAAACAATGGAATAGTAGGGGATATGTATAATATATAGTCCCCATCAAAGATTTTAAATATCTTCTTGGTATGGAACCCATTTTATTAATTGTCCCATATATAAAATAAAAACTCATTAATCAACCATACCTTTTTTATTCCTTTTCTAGTAACACAATTCACCCCACTTATCAAATCATCTACATATATATTTTCTATTTGAAATATAATAATGTAGAAAAACAAAAATGTCTCTTC